TAAAGGTACATTCTTTTTTTAAAAGCCTGCAGATACAAATATAAGCAAGTATTTTCAGGGGCCTTTATAATACATGAAAAGAACCCTTTGGAAATAAAAATCTGTGCCATTGAAATTACTGTCTTCACTATGGCTTCATAGAAGATAAAGTGAGAGATGAAGAAGACTCCACTTGCATGCTTTCTGCACAGTTTTTGATGATTCAACTTCAAGCTTTTTTCAGTTTCTGATCTTTGAGTGTCACACTGCAGAGATACTTAAAAGGGCCTCAAGTCTGACTTCATCACATTATCAAATATGGAATATATGATTGCTAAGAATATGCTGTTAAAAGAATTAGTTCAAAATCATCCATTGTGCAAATCTTATTTTGTCCTGTGTTCTCAGTGCTGCATGGGATCAAAATCTGGTTTTTTTTGTATATTATATGTAATGCTGAATGAACTTTCTACAATTATATCCTTCAGGTATCTTCTGTGTGAGAAACTTCTCAAGTTGCCAGTTAGTCTGTGATGACCTCTGATAATCAAACTACAAATTGCCCTCTCTCCATCACTCATCCAGACTTGTCTCATAATCAAGTTTTCTACAGAAGATTGCTAATTATCCAAATTGCCATTTCATATTTGTCCCTAAGGTTATATAGTTATTTCTCTACAAAGAGGTGTCTCCCACTGTGCATTTTTCGTGATGGCAAAGCGTGACTGGACTGCTGGTCTGAGTAACTGGAATGAGAAGAGGGAACTTCACTGCTTTTCCTTTTACCCATTTCAAGTGATTGTTCTTGTATTATTTATAACTACAAATTGATTTAAAGTTAATTCATTTTTCTTAGTGGCATTAATGAATACAAGCGGTCATTTAATGGTGTGTTTTGCGTATACTTTCTCAACAGCAGCGTTGGCCATTAGGAAGGTACTAGGGTGGTACATGACAGAAGTTGAAAGCAGGATTAAAAGGAAAGCAATTTGCAGTAACATTAACCAAGCTGAATATAATGCCTATATCTCATTCAGGAAACAGGCTGTGTAAGAGCGGCAGAATTTTCCCCTTTTGCTTGTCTTGATTGATTTCTGCTGCTTGCAAGTGCCTTGTTCAGCCCTTACAGCAAGAACACTGTAAAATGCTCCATGTGTGCGTGTGTATTATATTGCGTTTTTCTGACATACGTATACACGCACATATGTACTGTCTCAAGAATGAAAGACTAGGAATGAATACTTCATTCTTGTCTAGTTCTGTGCTAACAACATAAAGCAATTATACAGTATATGTTGTATGCTTCCAAAGCTGTGAAATACTTGTATTCAGCAGCACTAAGGTGTGAGCACCAGATAACAGCTTTTATTTGAAGAATTTTAGCTCTCAGTGTTTCCCTAAGACTTTGACTCCTTAGTTTCCTAAAGTTTTCTTTCTTTCTTAGCTTTTTGTTTCTCCACAGCAGCACAGAGGCTTATTATTACTGAATGAGAACCACAGGCTGTCTTTGACAGCCGCCAGGATTGGGATTCTGTAGTTAATAGTTATTCCATGCATTTGGAATTTCAATGGTCATCAGTGGCCACTAAAGGGCTGAATATTGTTGATGTAGCTTTGTTTAAGATTTGATCAGTCTCTTATTTCCCTCCCTGCCATTCACATGTACTAATAAGCCTATGAAGCAATTTCCATGATAGCAGAGTAATGAGGAAAGGAGAACTTGCCTTTTATTCTGAATTGAGTACAAAGGCATATTTGTTCTCCCTTTTCCTTATCCATCCCAGTCTGTGCACATCCAAGTATGGGGTAGCTACAGTCTTTTGCCCCATGCTTTCTTATGGGAGCATGATGCTTCTCTTTCTTAAGCCGTCTACCGGTGGTAAGGTACTAAGTTTGTACTACTTTGGGCAAGATCAGTCACATCCATTGAGCTAACTCCAGCTTGTGTTCATGGCTCCTTTCAAGATGATTATTATCACTTCTTGGAATTAAAGCAGAGATGTGACCAGAGGAGTCTCATCCAGCTTTAATTTACAGTAAGCTCTTAGAAGTCGCATGAATATTTCTCAAGAATGAAGAGCCTTGAAATTGCTTGGTCCACAGGGTAAGAAGACTTCAGTGTGTAATATTCTTAATTGTTTTTAGAAAGAGGAAATTGAACATCAAAACATTCCAAAGGAAGCAAGCCTTTTAAGTGATCCTAAATCACTGGGGTGCTTTAGAAAATAATTTCAGTGTAAGTCGAATTTTTAATTGCCTGCCCCTTCCTCTTATTGTCGTGGTACTTTCATCCCCTCTGTTTTCCTGGAAGATAACATTATTGTTGCTGTCTATTTTAAGGAATTCACTGGAATTTCTCTTGCAGTGCAGCAAAATGTCAGGGCTGGATATGCTTTAATATGCTGTATTATGAATATTTTTTATGTCTTTGTAATTAAAGAAATGAAGTTTTAATGACTGCTCTCTTATAAACCCTGGACTGTTGCATTTGCAACATAAGAAGCTCAGGACAGACAACGCCAGGTGCAGCTGGAATATTGCTGCAGCCCCACAGCATTATTTTTTTTTTAAACATTATTCAAATTAGTCTCAACACTCATAATTCTGTTGTTTCCTTTATTGCTGTTGTAAAGCAAATGGTTCTTTTATACAAATGTTATCTCCTGGCTATTAATTCAGCTGTTATTTTGGATTATGGCACTCCTGTTAAATTTAGGAATGTAAAATCTCATAAATATTTAAAAGTTTCAGACTGACGTGGGAAGAAATTGTTTTTGACTTGCTTTGTTAATATCCTGTTGTTCAATTTGTAATAGATTTGGAATATATTGTTATTTCTCTATTGTTTGAGAAAAGGAAAAACAGTCACAGTTGAGCAACTGCTTCAAGTGTTCGCACTTGAATTGTAACAGGTCGGTAAATACGATTTTTGTTCAAGTGGAAAATTGCAAGGGAAATATCTGTTTTCCTTTGAGAGAACAACAACAACAAAAAAGTTAAAACTTTAGTCAGAGCCCACTTCATGGCTGGTGAAAATGCAGCAGTATGTTTGTAAGGATGGTTTCAGTAAAGCAATTCCAAGCAGGGCTGGTTACAGTGATGTTATTCTGTTTCAGCGTTTTTCCTCTTTAAACTTTTCTAAGAAATAAATAAAATGGACAAAAGTTTTTCTTCCATTGTAGATATTTTGAATAGAGTACATTTGCTACACAGTGAGTGTATCTGTAGGGTAAAGATTCGTATGCAACCTGAGTATCCTCCAAATTCTGAATAATAACCAGGGGATAAGAAGCCACAGTTTTTGCTGACCAATGAAGGTCTAGGAGGACGTAGTTTGGAGCAGCATTCCTGTTTCACATCTAACAACATCTTCATTCATTCTTGACATTGGAATTGAATGCGTAGCTTTTCAGACAGGTATTAAGGAATATTAAGTCATAAATCCTGTCAGTGTCATTAATAACTATTTTAAATTTTTCAACAACTGTTCCAAAAAAGATGTTGAGTTGGTTCAATCCTGATCAGCAGGCTGACAAAGCAGGCAAAGTACGTATGCAGTTAACCAAGCTTGCTTCTCTCCTGCATGCTCCCTAAGTTGTTCAGCTGTGTCTTTGGCTTGATGGATTTGTTTCGTTTCCCACATCAGTTAACCTCAGTGGTGTAATATCGTGACTTTTTGTGGCATGGGCACTGAACTGAACAGAGAGCTTTCTCTAGCTAGCAGCTAGGTTAGTACTGCAGTGTCACTGCTGTTGAACAGCAGATTTGCACTCTCAGCTCTTATAATGTATGGCCGAACCAGCTTAATCTTCATGTAAAGTAATAATTGAGGTGACAGTTTTCTTTTGTCTAGAAAAACCTTTTTTTCTTTTTAACGACTTGTCATAGTTACGGTGCAATATTTCAAAGTTCAAGTTTTCAAAAGGAAGCTGTTAAGTGATCGTGTACAAGCTGTAATTCTGAAGGTGAACTTAGAATGGCATGAACAAATGGGTATTTTTACATGCACATGTAAATGAGCTGGATGTGCCATGCTAGCTGACTCCAGGCAAGTTTAACAAATTCAGTATGGTCCAGCTCTTGGCCTGTAAGGCAGACCCGGCCCCTCTGTGAGGTTTCTACCTGACCTATCACCTTCTTGCTGCTGAAGAGAGCAAACAGATGCTTCTTCAGCAGAGGCAGACTCCTCCACCTGCCTTCTCTGGGGAGATGAATAGCAGCTCTGGAGGGGCATAAGGAAGGGCAAGCAAGTCCTTCGGGGCTGCTGGCCCCCCCACCTGGCTTCTGCAGATGCTACCACCAGGCCACCCAAAGCATGACCATGTGCATGACAGTATTCATGAGCCAGTCCCACACACTCCTTCATTCATTTTTGTCTGCACAAAAAGCTCATTCCTCTATTACAATTGGAATGTGAATCTGCTATCAAATGGAAGAAAGAAGATATAAGGCTTTTGCTGTAGCTTATTGACTTTTTTTTTTGTTCTTCTGAAAGCTATTTTTGCTATGTGTTTCTTGTACTACTCTTGGTTCTATGTGAACAATATAAAGCCAACAGTTCTTGTGTGCTTATAAACTTGAGGACATTTGGATGAGGAAATTCTGCAGAGCAGTATATTTACTTTGCATTTCTGAATGGTAGCAATTAAAATTCACAGCTGCTGGCTGTCCAGATGTTTCTCACATTACAGCATTGTAATTTGCATTGGAATATATTGTGTTACTGCAGTAGCTGTTAAGTGGTCAGCTCTTCCAGCCCTAACTGCTGTATGTGAGCTCCACATACAGTCGGGATGTATTTTCCACTTGCGTCGGGTTCTTCTCCTTCCCCCCGTTCCCTACCTTAGTTAGCCTGACCAGTCTGTATTTCTCAGATGAAGGCTTTGTTGCTTGGAATTCACATACAGCAGGGGACATACTGGCAGATCAGAGCAGACGTACGGGTGGTTTCTTTTAAGAGAGATAGGAAAAAAGGACCTAGCTTTGAATCAGAACTTTCCCTTTCCCTTTGGCATTTTCAGACTGCAAACATCCCTCTGGTGTCAGAGCTTGGCATTGATGACATCCATTTTGATGACTTCTCACTCGATGTGGATGCCATGATTACTGCAGCCCTGCGGATGTTCATGGAACTTGGAATGGTTCAGAAATTTAAAATTGACTACGAGGTAACCATCTGTTCTGCAGAGATATCTGCTGCTTCCATGTTGGCACTGCTCTGTCCATTTGCACGCGTTTAGTAGCCCTGATAAAATTTGTACTTTTCATTTCAGACGCTGTGTAGGTGGCTTTTGACAGTTAGGAAGAATTATCGAATGGTTTTGTATCACAACTGGAGACATGCTTTCAATGTGTGCCAACTAATGTTTGCCATGTTAACTGTAAGTATCCCGCTACAGACACAATCCCATAAGATCTTTTAGTGCTGCATTCCTTACCTGTCTAAATGTTTTCCAATGTGTTTTTCTGGTTGTTATGATATTCATTCGTTTGCAGTAGATATGCACACAGAACTAGGTTATTCAACTTAAGATGGCATGTGTTTGGCAAAACCTTATAGTGTTTTAGTGACAGTGATATCACAGGCATATTAAAGTGACTGAAAACAGATGGAAGTCTTGGATTAAGCTTGTTATTATGGATCTTCATCTTACAATAACGCTTTCCTTTTGGAACTCTTTAATTTGACATTTATTTTGGACTGTTAAATCGAGATATAAAAACATGGAAGATTTAGAAGAATTATTTATTTTGTTGATATTTAATATTTTCTTCTCCCATTTCATCCGAGCTGTTGTGAAAAATACTGCCTAAAAACATTAAGATCATCTTCCTCCATAGTGATCTATGTGAATCTTTTGTCTTCACTGGACACTGTAATACTGGTGCGTTTTGTTTACTTCTATCACCATCAATAGCTATATCTTCTCTCAGCTACAAGTTAATTCTGTTCAAAGTACCAGTACTTTTATACTCTCTCTTCCTAACCCACATCAACCTTGCCATTGTATATTATATATAAATATACCATTTTATATATATATATTATATAAATAATGCATATTTAATTAGTTAATTCTTGCAAACATATCTGTAAAAAGACCATGGTTCTGATTGTTTAAGATTCTGCTTAATATGGCAACAGAGAAGCAATGTGTCTCTGTGCATACAACACTTTTCATTGTGCTTTTTAATTTTTTTTCCATATCTCCAGATAAAATTTCAAATGAAATGAATATTTTAGGCTCTAGTAAAACTATGATGTTCATAAGGTGATACTTCAACAAGATGGTTGATGCATAAGCTTATGTTATATAATTAGAGGAGCATTTATCACTAAAAAGCATCTTAGAATATTTTCATGAGGAACCAACAAAAGGAGGATCCCCAGAGCAAAGGCTGCATTTTCAAATACAAGAACATTTCCTATGGACAGAGGAACAATCTTCTGACTTAATTACTGAATTTTTACATTCTTGTTGCTGCTGAGATGCCAGCATGGCCAGCGTTTGCATGCTATCAGTCTGTGTGTGTTATCAGTGGAGCCTGCACTGCCTGTGCTAATCATACAGTGATTAAAAACACCAGATTGGTCTGCTGCCACTGAAATATTTCCACTGTGTTACACAGCCTTTAGATGGGCTGTAGCATGTTAACTCTACATAGGGCACAGTTGGCTTGGATTTCCAGCTGTTGTTCCTGGTTGGGCAGCACAACCAGTACCTTAAAGAAAAAGCAGAGCGTGAGGTCCTCAGGCAGGTAAATGACATCAGCGATGTGCTTGGTCTGTCCTGCAAGTTGTGTGGGTTAGGTTCTGTGAGCAGTTAGGGAGTGTAACAAGCTGTGAGGCAAAGCAGACAGAGACCTCTGATGAGAGTGAGAGAAGTCATCCCTTCTCTTGGGAGTGGAGATTGTGCGGCTGGGTGGAACCAGCCACATCTTCCTATGGACACTTTCTGATGGTCTTAAATGAAAACTCATTGTAACGTGGGCACTGGTAGTTTCTAAAAGTGTTATGAGCGTGGCAAGCCTGTTGTTAAGTTATATAAAGATAGAAGGTTTTCACTCTGAGCAGTAAGAGTCAAGTCAGACAACGTCTGGGGATTGCTGCCGAACGCTGCCGGGAGCGAGGCAGCCGCAGCCCCCGTCTCCACACAGCTCCTCTGCGAGGGGAAAGAGTCCTCTAGATGGAGCTCCGAGGCCGGCTTTGAGGCAGGTTTTGTTTTGGGTAGAGCAACCCTTTCCTACCGGGTACCTCCATCTCAGCTGGAGGCGGCCAAATCGCAAATCCGCAGCCAGCAGGGAGGAGGAAGATCGCGATTTCTTCAACAGCCAACAGCAGGCCAGCGAGGCTGAACTCTGTGACCGCATTCAAAGCTTAATTTCAGGATGCGTTTAAGCAAGCAGTGTGGGAGCACACATATCTGTGGGAGGTGATCTAAGATTTTCAAGCTCAGCTCATTTCAGTACATGGGTCTTCTAGTGAAATGAGCAGGCAGTTCCAGGCGGGCAGCACATGCACCAGAGTCTTTTGACTGTGCCACGTCTTGTCCTGCTTTGCTGTGGCTTTGGTGCAGAACAAAAGCAAGCCAGGCAGTCTGGGACCTTGCTTTCAGAGATAGGAAGACTGATTTTGTGAAAAGAGACATAAAAGCGATAGTCATGAGACTAGTAATAGCACAAGGTTTGCACGTATTGCATTTTTCTTGGGAGAGCCATCCTGCTTAGTATGCCTCCTTGTTTGCTTTTCATCTGCAAGAAGGGAAAATTCTCTGCCTCGTAGAGATACTGATTTGTGCCCGGTTGCAGGGTTTGTGTATATGAATATGTCAATATGCAAGACCCTTTCCTAAAGTTGTTGTAGTCTTTTTCTGGTTTTTCCATGAAAATCAATAATGTTATCTGCACCACAAATATAAATAAATAGGTCTATTTTAGGGAGTTTTCATGAAGGGTTAGCCTAACAGATTAGACACTACTACATTACATGCTAACAAGATTCGCCTCTGATGGCCTCACCATGCTCTCATTGAAAACAGAAGCAAAATCCGGCTGGGCTAAACAAGCCAACAGAAATCCTGCAGTGCTTAAACCAGGTGTGTCAGCCTTCTGTATGTGTACCATATATTCCTGTATGCCTAAATATAGGTTTTGTTTTTTTCAAGACACTGGAGAATTATAAACCCGGTCCTGTGAGCTGTGCTTCAGGCTCACCCAAATATTCTGAAGACGAGCACTGAAGCAAGGCTACTCCTCTGAGTTAGGAATGTCGCGTGAGAGTAAACCACAGGATGAAGCCCAGCTTTGATAATCATATTAATACTTTGCTCAAGAAGTAAAGATGAAAACGTCAGTAATATAAAATTAAAATCACATCTGGTGTGCTACTAACAAAACATATAATGTGGAGCAAGGTATAACGAATGCAATTCATTTCCTCACATGAGAGAATGACCTCCATAACTCACTGGAGACTCTGCCACTCGTGAGTTATGGGTCGTTTTTTTTCTGGTGAAAATAAATTTTACTGTGCCATCGTATACAGCTGTGTATTTTTTTTTTTTCTCTCTGTAAATTCAAAAAATGAGGAAATGGGATTCTCTGCTCTGAACGTAATGCAAAAAGAAAAAAAAAGATCCTCTTACAATGATGTTGTTTTAAATTGAACGTTCTTATTAAATAAGATATGCTATGTTTCTCTCATATACTCTATGACAATATTTTTGATTAAATGTTGAATTTATTTTCAAGATATTGCTACTGTTAATAAATTCCTTAATCAGTCTCCCTGCATTTATGATACAGGTTGAATCTTTGAGTTTAATCAAAGCTTCTGTTATGCTGAAGGCTATTTATTACAGTATCAACATTCTATTATGAAACCTCTATTTTAAGTTGCTTTAACTCAGCATGAATGCTTTCTCTAGACTGAAAGCTGACACAATGGTATGTTGTCAGTTACAATCCTCTTTTCAATTTTTTTTCCCTAAATAGACCTTTATTATTTTTGTTATACAAGAGCAATATTTAAAGAGTAAAACCAGAAAACACTATTTTTTAGATAACTTCCTCTGCCTGAGTGTCTAGTACTGAAATTTTAAGAAGAATCAGGAGAAGCCCTTTCGTAATAGTCAGGTTAATCTGTACACCAGTGGATATTACATGAATGGAATATTTTTTCCTCATATTTAGTTATCTTTTTAGATGTATAAACTTTACACAGTTATAAAGCATTTGTAGCAAGTCCTGCACTTCCATCATTCATGCTAAAATGTACTTTTGAGCAACCTGGAGCAGGGTTGATTCCCTGTACTGCTTAAGAATTAACTGCAGCCACATTTTAAACTGTGAAAACAGAGAATATTTGCATTTAAATACATATTTGTTTAAGCAGAATTTATGGTCTTCCAAGTGAATAGCAAAGTTCTCACTTGGTATTGCAACAATGACTGGCATCTCTGAGTGAGCTGTATGTTCCTGCGGAAGTGCAAGGACATCAAATCCCACTGTTACTGTCTTTGTATCACTTAATGCTCTTCTTGCCAGAGAGTGAAATTATGCTCCACTCAAAATCAGCAGAATTTCTTACATACTGTTCAAGTTAGGTTTTGTCTTCCAAAATAAATTGTTTCTTTTATACAATTTCCTCTCTTGCTAACTGGATCATGTGGCTAGTTGGAGAATGTGGTTCAAGCCTGATGCCATGGACAGAAAAGGATTAACAGTTTTCCATTTCAGTCATTGTTGCAGGCAATATGCCCTGAATCTTCTGAAGAGTTGAAGAACCATGTTGTTTCTGTTGTGGGTAAGGTGCACCAGGCCTACAGTGTCTCAAACAGCTTTCAGCACCTCCTCAGACATGAGCTGTTCAGGGTGCTTGAGGTTGGCAGTAGCGGTGGTGCTTCTCTGGCATGAGGCAGTTCAGGCTGTTGCACATCTTCTGTACAAGAAGAGGTATAGGGGCAAAAAATATTTGTAGGGATTCACACTGGCATATCTGGTCTGAATTGGCTGTGGGGGATTTCAGTACATCAAATTTCAAAACTTTATATCAAATTCAAGTGGGCATCTGCAGCAGAATTATGCCTTTTGAGATATTTCCTCCTAAATCATGTCACTTCATTTCACATGTCTCAGATAACAAATCTCTTAACTGTTCATACCAGTTCCATAGAGTATATTTCAGCTGGCATCTTTTATAGGTCTTTTGATTTAACAAATTAGATATCTTTGACAGTAGGGATTAACTAAAATGGCCACCTCAGAATTGAAGAAATCCGTGTTAAAGTACTTACTGAACAATAATTTCAAAATGAAATCAATTTTGGTTTGTATTTCTCTGGTAAGAGACTCCGGTTCCTGTCTTAGTGTGTAGTTGGTGTTTGTTTTCAGCTCTTTTTGCCATTGCTGCTTTCTGGGTAGTGGGGGAATGCCATGCTGGAAATGCAATGGAGAGATGATAACACATCACTCTAAGGACGTATCTGTTCTGCTAACCATCTAACATGCAGCAGGGAACATAATATGACAGTAAAGCATTTATCTTCTCTTTACTGATATGTTCATGCTATCAAAACAAAGTTGGCTGTTGCTTGATGGACTAACATTACTTATCCCTTTTGCTACTGATAGTTACAGCTGCTATTTTTTTCCTTTTCTCAGACAGCAGGATTTCAAGAGATTCTGACTGAAATTGAAATTTTAGCTTTGATTGTGGGATGCTTGTGTCACGACCTTGACCACAGGGGAACCAACAATGCCTTCCAAGCCAAGTAAGTTTTCTAATTCTTATTACTTTAATTTGTTTTTCTTCCACAGAAGAGCAAAAGGTGAGCAGGATAAAGAATGAAGCATTAATTTCAGGCCTCCCAGGCCAAGGCCAAGTATTCTTATTCCTGTACATAGTGAGGGACTATCCATCTTTATAATTCTCTGTTCTTTGGGGTAATTGCTGCCTTGTCCTTTGTATCAGGCTGTTGATTGGGTTAATCCTTGTGAGCTGACACAGAATATTGAAATGTGGTGCCAAAACTTGATGTTCCTCTCTTGCTCTGTTATTATTAATTCTGGTATTCGACTCAGAAAATACTGAGACAATCTATCTGGGTTTCTCACTGTCTGGAATGCATTAAGTTAAGCATAACCTAGCTAAGCAATTAAAAAAAAAAAAAAAAAAAAAAAAAAAAAAAGGTTAAAATGAAATCCTGCTTTCCCAACAATTTTCAAAATGGTTTAGGCAAGCATATAATTCCTGGCATACGGAGTATGAAACTGCTACCATCATGCTGGAGCTCTGCTGCATATCATCTGCAGTAGGTGGGCTGCTCCTGGTTTGTAGAAATGCCACCTCCTTGCCTGCTCCATATGCCAGTTCTCAGAGTTCCATATGCTTGGAGTCCTGCTGCCACAGGCAGGGTTGCGCTGGCTGCTCCTTGACATGGTCAGTACCCACTACAGCACAAGGCTGGATCTCACAGGCAAATTGTTACATTACCTAAGTGAAATCTTGCTCTCCAGACCATTTTCAATTCCAAAAGTGAATGTCATTCTATTCAAGTTGCTTAAGATCTGATCCAGCAGCCCTGACTCATGTTTGTTTTTACCATCCAAGCTGCTACCCTTAGATGAGTTGCTGAAATAGCAGCAGGCTAATGGAAAGTTTGAGGGTACGTTGTAGGGTGATAAGATAACTCTGTTTACCAAGATCAGATTGTTTCCAAAATCTGGTTTTGAAAGACAGGAATTGCCTGTTTGCTGCAGTGTGTAATATGCACTGGCTGCTGCGTTTCTGGGGCTGAGTATCCTTAGTGACCATCACTCATATTGATGTTTCTGATGTTTGCTAAGCTGCCATTTCCTAAGCTATTGGTGCTGCTATACGATCTCAATGAAACAATGACACTGTCTGTATCTTCAATCACTATAGCAAGGAAAATCAATTGCAGTGCTCAAAAGACAGAGCTCGTGGTGCAAAGGTTACCAAGCACCACTAGATGCCTGTTCGCAGCTGAGTCTGGAGGAGAATCAAAAAAGATGAGACAAATGGGAAGCTCAGCTGATTGATGTTTATGTTCCTAATTTACCAAAATGAAACCTAAGATTTACATCCAGGCCATTTTAGGCTCTGATTAAGTTAACTACTTCTCTACTGTAACATTGCACAGACACATCTCTTGTGCAGAGAGATGGCTGACTTAAAGGCAGAGATTTCAGCATCAAACTGCTATCACTTAAACTTCCTTGACAACTGACTACGAAGAGGAGAGTGCCATTTTATGACTCCATAAAGAAATTGCTGAAGACATTTAACAAAAGACAAAGATTCCCACACATACAAAATAATCCCTGAAAATGGAAGCTGTAGTTTTCATAACAGCAGCTATGATTTATTTCTCTAACTTGGCTTACAAATTTAAGCACGTTTTCTTATTTTGTGTTCAGCGCTACTGTTCTGTGTTCTGAAAGTTCAAGAGGTATACAATGAAGGCAATATCACAGCTGTCTGAAATGTCTCTGTTATATATCTCAACACCACATTCTCTAGGGATGATGTTTCCTGGACATCTTTCTCTCTAATATAGCTGCTTCTGATAATTAAATAGCAGTATGGTGCAGTTTTATAGTTTATTTTCCTAGGAGACTCTTTCTGTTTGTCTCTAGCATAATCTCTTGTTCTCATTTCTTTGGAAAGAAAACCCATCTTGTCACTCTAGGCTGGGTCCCAGAAGTGAAGTAATGATGAACAGTAACTATTCTGACAATCCAGTTCAATTCTCTGCACCTCTCAACAATTCTCAATTTAATAACTGTATTTCATAGGTTTTTGTTCTTTAAACTTGGGAAACCCAACTGCTCTGTGCCTTTTGAAGCTTGATTTTGTTTTAGATAATAAACATGATAAAAAAATACATTCTAGACAGATGGCAAACTTTACTTTTACATTTACTACTCTCAGTGCTGTTTTTTGGTTACATTAGTATTTTTTTTTTTTAAGTGTGTGCTTTTAGATATAGACAGAACCTCACTGCATTTGAACCTGTTTTTTGTTTGTTTTTAAAGATACGTAATCACCTTTTTGTAAGCCTTTTTTTGTTAATATCTACTAATAACTGAAAATTAAAAGTAACAGAAGAGTCAATCTCTTGACCCCTGCTCAAGGCTGATACAGTCTGTTTTTACTGCACAGTGCTGTGCTGCAGCACTGCTAAGGCTCCTTGGAAGCTGCATTCCATAACTTTGTTCCAGGAACTATCTTTAGTCAGCTGATGGTATTTAGCATAAACATAAATGCCATGTATTTGGCTATAAATGACTATTTTGATCTGGCCAACTCTCAAGTGTGGTCGCTGACATGGATAAGGGCAAGTATGACTGCGTGCTTTCATTACTAAATTCTGTCTGAAATCTGCTTTGTAAGCAACTGAGCAGCATTTGTTGACTCCCTGCATTCTGTTTCAGGAGCGGATCAGCCTTAGCTCAGCTCTACGGCACCTCTGCTACCTTGGAGCACCACCATTTCAATCATGCTGTCATGATTCTCCAAAGTGCGGTACAAAGCATTACTATTAATCTCACTATAAGCTGTTGGGCAGTTTCAGCCAGGGAAAGGAAATACCACATACAGTACCTTCTTAATGCCCTCTCCTTGAGGAATTATTTATTGGATACCTCAAAGGTCACAACTAGCACAAAATTAAACAATTACAAATGCTGATCGTAGATCCCAGAGATTATATCTGTCTCAATCAGCTAGGGGCAAGGAGAATATATCCTAATCATATTATCAGTTTCTCTGTCTTACACAGATCCTGCTCAGGGCCTTATAGTTAGGTAAAATGCTCTTACCTTTCCCCACAAGTGTTGTGTTGCACTCAGTCTATCTGAGTCATCCTTTACTGGTTCTGCGTTATTTTACTAAATGTTTGTGTTTTTTTTTAATTAACATCTCAATATTGCACTGTCCAAAATACACTAGCTGCTGTGCAGATTCCTATAAACACAGAGTTCCTGCCTAGAACACCTTCTGCTCAACAATATGCAGGTTACACTGCCCTAGAGGTGTTATAAGAGGGAGAAGAGAGATAGACACATGATCTTTATGAAGAAAATGGATGTATTTTGTTAATTTACAGATAGCTTGTTACAAAATGTGTTCAGTATATATAAAAAGTCTTATTCATGCAGCACTATTAGAGACTATTCTGATATGCATTAACTTTTGGAGGGCGTGGGATTGTCCATGATTATAGGCAAAAGGGAAAAGGGAACTGGGTAATGCCTTGACTCTGTATGCAGTGTCCACAATCAGTGGTCTAAGACTGACCTCTGGGTTTTAGTGTCCAGTTTTTTAACATAATATTTACAACATAGACATGGTAAAGGAGAGCCCTGGCATGAGATTTAAACAATTCAATCTGCTCAGTTAAGATGATCCCCTAGTAAATGGCTCTTTAGCTAGCAGAGAAAGACAACAAAAAGCAGCATTTGAAGGCTAAATAGACCAGTTCACAGGGAGTAGGGAAAAGGAAAGTAGTGGTTCTTTTCTTTTCTTTTCTTTTCTTTTCTTTTCTTTTCTTTTCTTTTCTTTTCTTTTCTTTTCTTTTCTTCTCTTCTCTTCTCTTCTCTTCTCTTCTCTTCTCTTCTCTTCTCTTCTCTTCTCTTCTCTTCTCTTCTCTTCTCTTCTCTTCTCTTCTCTTCTCTTCTCTTCTCTTCTCTTCTCTTCTCTTCTCTTCTCTTCTCTTCTCTTCTCTTCTCTTCTCTTCTCTTTTTGTTTGCTTGTTTTCTTTAAACCAATGAGACTGTCTGTTCAAAGAAGACTTCTTAGCTCTTCAAGTCTTCAGGACTGACTGAATGCCCTTCTGAAGACATGCTTAAGACATGGACAACTCTGTGCAAGTTTATAGCTCATGTCAGACTAGATTACAACACCACTTCTTTTGAATTAAATACAGATTTGGATCCTCCGAACTATTTAAATAGGCATATTAACTTGTGCAAGCTGAGCAGTTTGTTTCTTGCCTCAAATATGCTAAAATTAGATGATATCTTATGCACTAATGTTGATATCCTAATCTGGTTTGGCTATCTAAAATTAAACATAGAATAGTGCATGATTACTTTGAATTTTTATCATGCTGGAAAGACGAGCTATTTATTCTCTACTTCTGTCATGCTAACCTCAATATAAGTGATTTTGAGCTTTGTGTTGGCATGGTTTTACACATGATGAAACAGATCAGAAATGTAAAAAATAAAAAAATTACAGATTGACAACTTGGTAAATTGCTCCTGTTGTAATAGCTGCTGTTTTCCTCATACACCTTACTTTGCTTTTTTTTAATTTATGTTAAATTTGTTCTTCTCAAATTTTACATTTTCAAATCCTTTTCAATGCTTAACTAAAGATAAAAACTCATTTCACTGTCACAAAGGCCATGTTTTATGCATGGCAGTTCTATTTTTTAGACCAACAATGAGCCAACTTATTAAATAAATAAGAACCAACTCTCCCTCCAAACCTTGCCTTGTCTGTCCTCAGACATTCGTGGCTGTAATAATCCTATCTCCAGAAAATTCTTGCTCGTAAGTGCATTTTATTATTCCTTAGCAGTATATGGCAGTATGTACTGAATGTTTGCATTACACTGCTAAATGCCACCAAAATAAGACTCTGTTTACCAAGAACAACACTGATTCTATGGGTGATTTCATAGAGAAATTGTAGGATCTCTGTCCCTATTAGTTTTCAGAATTTCAGTTACAAAATACCTCTTGAATAGCAATATCCAACTAGTTTGTATCCCTTCATTCTGGCTATGGAGCACTTTTCAAATTCTTAAGCCCATTACCCCTGTAGAATATCCTCTCAGATCTTCAAACCACAGAAAGCTGTGCTCTTCAGCCTGTGCAGGGAAGGCTTGTGGATGTGGTAAGAATGCAGTAATGGGTCAGAGAGAGCAAACAGGCTGTTTTGAATGAAAAACTGATTTAGTGTCTTTGACTGCTCTAACAGCAGTTTGTGTGCCTGCAAGCAGCAGCACAGATAAATCTATTAGGAGCACAACTCAAAAGCTGAAATGCCCAGCTCCCAGAAACATTTAATAAGAGGAAAGATTGAGATGTATCCATAGTTTTCCTCCATAAACTGAGTCTGTGCAGGGTAGGAGTAAAGAGTAAATCTTTCCTCAAGAGGCTATAATTTCAGCAGAGTTTAGTAAAACATCCCAGATACTTGATTACAATTGTCAAATCTTACACCCCGATGTAATCTCCACAGTGTTAACATTATTATTTTGTCATAGATTTGCCATGAATCAGAAAAGGCCTCTGCTAGAGAGAAACAGTAGACTGTTAGAAAGAGTTAGAAAACCTTTTAAAAACCGATATTGATTGCTAGTCCTTTACCTTCTTTATCTCTTTCATTATAGGGTCACAACATCTTTGCTAACTTGTCCTCTAAGGACTACAGTGACCTTATGCAGCTTCTAAAGCAATCGATATTGGCAACAGACCTCACTCTGTATTTTGAGTAAGTATTGGCATTTCTTATATGTGAGAAACGAAAATTCGAAGCATGTATCTAACAGCCTATTAAATACTAATAAGGATATATAATATGAACAATTAATATTTAGCTGTGGTTGAAAAGATTTAGTCTAATACTTTGTGTACTTTAGGCTAATAGAAATATCTCAAGTGTCTAACTAAGTTTTGCTTTAATGCGCAATGTCTACATCAACAAAAGACAAGGGAAAAGTCCTGGGCTCATGCTTCAAAGCAATCCCAGGAATCAGCTACAGTTTGCTGCCATAATTCTTCTGTCCCTTATGCGATATTTCTTCAGAGGTGTAGAAAATCAACGACATTTCAGAATTCTTTTCCACCATCTTAGAGTTTCCAACAATCTATACTAAAAATATTGTATTTAATAAAAAAGATGAGTAATGAGGTAATGAACACATACATTTTGCTTTTTGAAGATAAATTATATTGGAAGAGAAATATGTTGTGGAAAGTTTAACTCTCCGTTTTTCTCATCTGCAAGTCAGATCTCTTAAGTAGTCTTTAAGTTGATGCTATGGTATGTTTTCAAGCGTTGTTATTACCAAGCTATATTTGCAGTAAGACTGCAGTGTGTATGTGGCTGGAGGAGTCATGATGTCACCACCATGTGATGTGGCTGGAGCCTGCTCTCTGGCATGTACCTGGCTGACTTGCAGGGAGAGCACCATCAGGTGTACAGCTTTGGGGTGCTGCCTACGAAACCTTGGATCACTGGGCTAAGGTGAATGGGATGAGGTTCAACAAGGCCAAGTGCCAGGTCCTGCACATTGGCCACAATAACTCCATGCAGTGCTACAGGCTTGGGGATGAGTGGCTGGTTAACTGTGAAGAGGAAAGGGACCTGGGAGGTGTTGGTTGATGCTTGGCTGAACATGAGCTGACAGCGTGCCCAGGTGGCCAAGAGGGCCAACGGCATCCTGGCCTGCATTAGAAATAGTGTGGCCAGCAGGAGCAGGGAGGTGATCTTCCCCTGTACTCAACACTGGTGAGGCTGCACCTCAAGTATTGTATTATTACAAAAAAGATTTTTGAGGCCCTTGAGCATGTCCAGAGAAGGGCAACAAAACTGGTGAGGGGTCTGGAGCACAAGTCTTATGAGGAATGGCTGAGGGAGCTGGGATTGTTCAGTCTGGAGAAGAGGAGGCTCAGGGGAGACCTCATTGCAATCTACAACTTCCTGAAGGGAGGTTGTGGTGAGGAGGGGTTTGGCCTCTTTTCTGAGGCAACAAACAGGACTTGAGAAAATGGCTGCAAGTTGTACCAGAGGAGGTTTAGGTTAGACATAAGTAAGAACCTTTTCTCTCAGAGAGTGGTCAGGAACTGGAATGGCTGCCCAGGGAGGTGGTGGAGTTGCTATCCCTGGCAGTGTTCAAGAAGTGTCTGGATGAGGAGCTGTGTGATATGATTTATTGCTTGTGGTAGCAGTGGTAATGGGAGGACAATTGGACTAGATGATCTTGCAGGTTGTTTCCAACCTTGTGATTCTATGATTCTATGATTTTCCTAGCCTTGGCAAGGCTTCATCCTTAGGAATTTTTGTTGGATGTCCATTAGCATCCTATCTCATACATTATTGGGTAGCATTTGGAAAAGTATCCCTCTACTTTGAGAGGGGTGTACATAGATTCCTCAATTGTGTGTACTGATAGTTGGTTAGTTCCCACATGAATCTTCCAGAAAACTTCAGAAATTCTAACTGTTCAGCAATGCATCTTTAAACTGTTAATTATAAAAATACTAACTGGGATGCTGCCATGTTTGCCAATATTGGGTTATTATGTAAAGAGCTGTTTCTGAACAATACTGGCAATAGAGACATTGATGTTCTTTGTTTTCTGCAAGTGTATTCTCAAAGAAATTGTACTTAAGGTTTTTATGAATAGTTTTACTGTAAATAACTTATAAAATTAGCCCACGTTTGTAGATATGAAGATGCTCAGGAAGACAAATACTTTTAGGCACACAATTTTTGAAGCAGTCTGTTAGGCTTGCTAGGATCTGGAGGTCTGGTATGGCAGTGGAACTTGCTGACAGTTTTAAGTGGGATACAAGGGCCAGGGGGATGTTTAAGTACAGATTCTCCTGTCTAACTGCAAATGACAGGAGTGCACAATGGGTTTGTGCTGTCAGGGAGAGGATGAGTAGAAAGGACTTAGAGCACATCTGCCCTGTGTGGCACCATGCACTGCCCTGTCTGAGACAATGCAGCTTGTGGAAGAGCCAGAAAGCCTAACCCTGGGAGAATCTGCAGCAGCACCTTGAAAGGGAAACCAGACACAGTGGAGTTGTTTGTTTTTTTTGCTGCCTGCCTTAGGCTGAAAAACTACATGGTCAAGTGGTGTTTCTATTTTTAATGCAGAGAAATAATGTCCAAAGAGGACATCAGCTGAATTTCAAAATGGAAAATGTACTTAATTTTAGTGGATAATTTTAAACGTTGCTCACAGATAATAGAACAAGAAAAATAACTGAATCTGAATAAGTGAAAATGATGTTTATGGAAATCAATTGAAATGATGTCTTGAGCCATTGGACTGTAAAGCAGCTGCTTTGTTGTACAGCAAATTAGCTTTCCCTTTCAGACTATATACAAGAGTTGATGTTACTCAAAAACATTGCTGGCATGCTATGATGCTTAATAGCATTAAAACTCTTCCTGTCGGACATTGTGTCTAAGGAACCAGCAGGAAGCACTGAATTATTTCCTTATACATGGATGCTTTCCTCAGGTTGACTCTCATACTAGAAATCCTCTGTGGTGTTAGACTGAAGCTTCTACATCCATTCCTGAGGATGTCAAAGCAAGACTCTTAACATTTTCTGTTCCTGCTTTTATGAACCCATATACTTTAAATTTGAATGTGTGAGGTTTTTAGGATCTCATGTTCCTGACCTTTCAGCTTTAAAAATTGTTGACTTTTTGTTTCCAGTAGCATATGAATTGCCCAGAATAATCACTACTTCAAAATGAAATAATTTGTACTCATCAATTCTGTAATCTGAAATTCTTAGTATTTTATTTCAAGAAACATAAGGGATAGGATATCATATTGTCTCTGTATCTGTGTTCTAACTGCCATTGTGAAATCTGTTATGTAAGAGCCCCTGTACAGTTCTGTCCTTTCACTGGGGTCAATGTTCCCAAAATCGTGCATTCCTTTGAGTATAAAAATTGTAGTCTATGCCATCCAGATTATGCTTTCAGTAATTACTGTGGAAAATTTCAGCCCATCTGAAGTAAGTGTGAAAAATATAAAACTCTGTAAACTTGTTCCAGTTAGGAATCTCCCATGAGACAAGACACTGGACTGTCATCCAAAACATAGGTATTCGGTTTCCAGACTTGATGCTGATATGTTGTGTCACTCTAGGGAAGTTGGTCTGTATTTCTGTACCTTCTGTCATACTGGGGTAGGATCTGCTGCGTATTGTGTGTGTGGTCACACTGTGTGCAGTAAGAGTCCCTTGAAGGTCAAGCGTGAGTTGTGATAAAATTACAAGTCCAAATGTTGGTACTCAATAGTCAACAAACAAGCAAGCTTTAACATGTCCCTATTCACAGAGACTGGCAAGATCTTCTGGAAGACAAAGCATGACGTACAGCAGGGATACTTAATTTAAAGTCAGTGAGAACTACACATTAAAGATGCCCACAGTCTTTGTGTTCCATCTGTTGGAAATAACGGTAATTACAGGGCTCTGAAAAACCCTCTGGAATCCAAGAGTTAAAAAGCATTTTGCAAGGACAAGTAAAGTGAAGCGTGTGCATAATTCAGGGGTATTTCTATTGTCTGTCTGTCCACTTCTGTAGTCAGACGTTTCATGCTTCCATGGTATCATTTATTTCCTTATCTGCAGAGGCTATAAATACAGTATTGCTTTTACTAGGCAGCTCTGACATTGGTAACAGACATTTATAGAACATGTTCGGAAATTAGTATGTTTCGCTTAAATGGACTGTCAGTGTAACGTCTTTAACAGTAATAAATGAGCTGTGATGATATTGTATCATTCAGAGAACCACATTTCTGCTGCAGTGCCACCCAGAAAATGTCTGTTTCCCTTTCTGACAACCATTTTTTGTTGCAGGAGAAGGACGGAATTCTTTGAACTTGTCAGTAAAGGTGGTTATGATTGGAATGCTAAAAACCATCGAGAAATATTTCGGTGAGCACTACCATTTCTTGCTTTCTGGTTATTTCAACATGTAACCATATTTGTTAAAGGAGATTCTTATGTCACAGAGGAAAGACTACAATGAGAAGATAGCTCGCTTTAAAAATGCGATCTGTGATATGAAACACATGATATGATTTCTAAATGTTACTAAACTTTAGCAGAGGTATAAACTTCACCTTCTCCGTTCCTATTTCTGCCTCTGTCATGTATTTTTCCCTTTCTCCCAGCCTCACCATTTACTGCTCAGCCTGCCTTCTCTTTCTCAAAAAACCGCCGGTACTCTGCCTTAGGACCCAAAGATCTTCCTTTTCTGCTTCCTTTTCTCTCCTCCTCTCAGCTGCTTTCTGTCACAGGCTACGTTTCTCTCGCTCTTGTTGTCTGTAACTGGGAATTTGCAGATACACAATACTCTTCTAACACTCGAGAATGACCTGAGCATGCACCCTATTTAAATGGTGGGAGTGTACCCCAAACTTGAGACATATATGTGCATATTTGTATATGCGTGTCTTATTACATCTCAATTTTGTTAAAATACTGTTTCCTTCTGGAAATTATTTTAAACCAAGAAAATTAGCCATCTTCTGTTTTCCATATCATTTCATCCACTCCTAATTTCAGATTCAGGCAATATATTTGATGCTTCATTTTCAGTGCCCTTGTTCTTCATTTAAACTTTCCTAGACTTTTATCTGCATCATGTACTGTACATAAACGCTTTCTACAGCTGAATGGTTTCTTTCTTCTAATGCATATAAAACATGGTTGTAGCTAGGTATTAAACTACAGTGGAACAGTATAGCTCATAGTAAATCTTAAATTTTTATTGTAGATGAGCAGTAGAAACTGCTTAAACAGTGTCTGGGTTGCCTCCTGTGATTATAGGTTCTCTTGCAACAGCAGCCACTTACAAATAGGCATATAAATTAATCCAGTTTGCAGGTATTAGTATATAATAATACCCTTGCTTATATCATGTGAAGTACATGTTTTCTGGTATTTATATTTATATGGTATATATATTTATATAAATAGTATCAGGGGTACTGCAAAATTAGTGTTATTCCCTTGCAGTGCCATTACTTTTCTAGTATGCGGTTCACAATACCAAAAATTCATTGTCTGATGGCTTGAAATACAATTATGCTTCCCGGGCACAATTGTGATGTGAAAGCCATGCTGATCGCTGGGGTTTCAAACGTGTCATTCTTTTCTGGAGGAAAAGGTAACAGGGCTGACATTTTATACATGTATATATTATTTATTTATGCATCCAGAGCAGAGTTGTTCAGAAACCCAACAAAGGTTGATTCAGCTTGTATTGTTCATTTCTGTTTTTCAGATCAATGCTAATGACAGCCTGTGACCTTGGAGCTGTGACCAAACCGTGGGAGATTTCAAGACAGGCAAGCCATGATTAATAGCAGGGCTGGGAGGAGGCGGGACTGGCGGGACAATATTCCCAGGGCCCTGGCTTACAAGGGACCGAAACTGGAATCAATTTACAGCAGTATTAATGCTATAAAAAATAGCAGGGGGTTCTGTAAGAAATACTTTATTGCTTAATCTTTCCATGTATGCATGCTGGTGAGCAGCACATTGGTACCTGAGGAGATCTGGTTTTACAACCTCTCCTCTTATTAACCTTTTAAATCCATATCAATAAAAGGATGGATTAAACAACAACAATGAAAACCACGAGCTACATGTAGCTGCACTTCCTTGGTTTGTTCTAAGGCTTTCCTTGGCCATGGCAGCATCTTCCCTAAATCAGGAGATGATCTGCAAACTTTGATTAACATCAGATTTTTCTGTTTAAGAGAATATGTTTATTTTTATCAACTTTGGGGGGAAAAAAAACCTACAAGTGTAGCATGGCGATGTTTTTAGCATTCTCTACTTAGAGACAAAGAAAGATTCAGGCTTTTGCTGCTGAGTAGGCCCAGTAGAAATATATACATAAAACTCAGGTCCAAATGCTGACTACAGCTAATAATTATAACACGCATAAGCAAGTGTCTGGCTTACTAAACAAATGCTTGTTCCCTCTTCTAGACATCTTCTCATAATTTGCACCCTTCATTAATATTCTTTCCCATACTAGTAATTCTCTGTCCCTCGTTGAAGTCTAGAACAAGTTAGTAGCAGGTTGGGTAGTGAGATAGAGTTTTGGAGGAATATGCAACATAATGAAGCAGATAGGAAATATATCAGCACAACCGGGTGTAGGTGAGCAGCTGCAGTGAATTTGACAGGCGTAATGTGAAAGTGACAGCTAAAAAGATGAGCTGAAGATGAGAAGCTGGACAAGCGAGCTAGCTATCAAGGTAGGAGCAGCCAGATTTCTTGAACAGGGACACAGAATGTAATGGCAGATGAAAGGGAAGGGGCTTGTGCTCCTCTACAGCAGTACCAAAATAACATGCACACGTTAACCCGGTAAAGAAGCGTTTATGAAGTGAGGGCTTCAGCTCAGTTTGCAGTTTTGTCTAATGAGTCTTTCTTTTTTGCTTTTATAAGCAGACTAGAACAATAGTCCTTTTAAGACTATTATCTCTTCTTGTCCAGAATGTGACCACCACAAGAAATCAGGGAATTTGCTCTTGTTATGCAGTAGGAAAATAAGTCACAAGCCCTTAAAGTGCCACTTAGCCACTGCTGTAATTTGTGCAAATTCTCCTCACTTTTCCTCTTTACCCCTGTGAGGTTCTCAATTTTCCTTGACAGCCAAAATATCAGGGAGGGTCTGTTTCCCATGCTGTGAATCTTTGTGTTATGGTGTTCAACGTTCTGGCAATGTGTTCTTTATTTTTATCATTTTTGAGGTTTGCAAATTGAAAATTCCCCTGAAGCCTGGTGTACAGATTTACTTAGTATTGAAAAACCCTGAGTGAAATATTAGCTGGTTGAGCAGAGAAGCTAATCAGTGCACAGAAGAAAAGTAGAAGCAATAGTTGGACCTCAAGTGTACATAAAGGAAAAAAATATGAAAAGCAAGGGAGAAAGAAACTGAAGTATATGCATAAACAAATAAAGATGCAATGTATGAAGAAAAATATTAGGAAGAGAGGACAGATAGAAGAGGGAAAGGGACACAAGGAGAAATGTGATCAGAATAGCAGTGAGACAGGGATGAGACTACATTTTGATTATTTTTATGCAGTGCACTTGGCAAACACTTAATTGCTGTTAAGTTGTTAAATTATTCCTCAGTCTGGAGCATTGATCCAAAATTTTATTAGTGTACTGGGATTACATACGTTATAAAGTTCCAAACTGCGTGATAGCCTGGTTCAAGATTTAAGAGTTCTTTATAACACCACTTCACCTATTTGCAATTTATTTTGGTACTCCCTATTTCAAGTTTAGCAAGCTCAGGATTTGTGTATGTTAGATACTGTGCAATTGCTAGATCAAGAAATGTTGAGACTTATAAAGCGCAGGTTCTCTTCGTTCACCTTGTTATGCTGTGGTGTTATGAAATCATGTCTTACCTCAAAATCACTTGAAAACTATAAGCAGGCATGACAGGAATTTTAGGAACTGAATTCTGATTTCAGTGAGTTTCCTTTTTTTTCTTCAGTATCTCATGTGTCACCTGTGCTGACTTTCTAAGCCTTGCGTTCAGAAAGGGCTGTTATATCAAAATTGTTCAGTGTTTGGTTTCTTAAAATTCCTATTAATTTTGTTATTAAATTTCATGTACTTCTGAGATTCTATGCTGAATATTCTATTCTATGCTGAGTAGAATAACAATCTTCGTTCACAAAAATCAGAAAAGGCACATTCCAACTTCAACCTGCAATGTGTTGCTTTGGATTCAATATGATAATCGTAGTCTGAGCTCATATGTACTGTAGTGATGACAGTTGTGGGGGGGAAAAAAAAAAGAATAAGTCTAGTGGGGAAAAAAACTTAATGATTTTATATTAAATTACGACAACAGAGTGAAGTTCTTTATACAGGGCAACAGCCTGTAAATACCCCAAGAGCTCTTACACATTTTACAAAGCACTTTTACAGACATAATTACGTGTTCCAACAAGAAGCTATCATTTTCTATTCTGTTCTCAATACTTGACTAAGTTGCACACAACTACAGAGTGCTGCCTCCACACTGCACTGTCTTTCCCCAGTTGATTCCCTTTTCAAAAGTGATAAACATGACTCTTACGGGTTTTGGCTATTTATATCCACTTCTGTGCCCCACTCTGAAAAGTATACGAACATGTGCCTGACACCAGTCATGCAACTAGGGCTATTAACTTCTTTACAGCAAAGCACAGACTGAAGTCATGGTCTAAGCAGAACCTTAGTACCCTAAAAGTTATGTTACGAGTCCTCTAAAGTTTATTGTGATTTGTATTTTAGGCAGCTGAGCTGGTAACCAGTGAGTTTTTTGAACAAGGAGATAGAGAAAGATCTGAACTGAAACTCATTCCTTCAGTAAGTATTTATCACTTCTGAAATATTTATTTAAATAGGATAAGAATATAAAATTGGATTCTTGGAAAAAACAACAACGACTGCATTTTGGTATGAAATAAATATCTTTATATAAAACAAAAGCTCTCTCCAATAAGGAGGTGCACTGAAAGCCACACATAAAAAGCAGTATAGGCAACAGAGTCACTTTTCCTTTGAACCCATCTCCATTTTCTTTACCTTCTCGCAGGTTTATTCTGTCATTCAATTTTTTAGGCAACAGGTATTATTTTTAATAGATGAATTCAAATAAAATGACGATATGCTTATGGAAATTAAGCTGCTGCTGTCTGCTATGTGTTATTTGATATATCAATCTTAGCTTCATGTCTTACTTAGATATTCTGTGTGATAACTGTATGTCAGAAAGAGCAGGACACAACTAGAAGTCAGCCAAGTACTTCATATGTAGAGCCTAGAGATGGTGTGAAGGGAAAGAAGGAAACTAAGTTTTCTGAGGAGACATCAAGCTGGGGGCAGATGAGCCTAGAATAAGAACAGACTTTCTAATGAAACACCAGAAAGATTTAAAATTTGGGATTTTCAGAGAATAAAAGAAGAAATTCAGTGAATGGTACGGATGAGCCACTAGAAGGAGGATTAAGATTCTGTAGAAGGAAAAGCTGCTGGACTAAGTGATCTCCTACAGGGTACAGAGGAAACTCACATTCAAACCCTTGAGAATTCATTTTCTTCCATCTCCTTTCATAGAGCAGTACAACCAATAATTGTGCCTCTTAAACATCAGCTTAGGTCTCTCTAACTTACTCTCTGTGGAGTGTAGAAGGTCACTGAATTAGGATGTTTCCAGAAGAATAAATTAATAACTATTCCCCAGGTTGGTCTGTTGACTCCCCGTGCTTTGGCTTCATGGCCATGGCTGGTTTTCCAAAAAGAGTCTGTAGTTGGGAGGGAGGGAGGGAGCCAGCCCAGACCTCATGTGAGAAAAGAAAAAAAATCTGCTCAAAGATATCTACTTTACATCTCTACAGGAGGTTTCTTTCCATCTCAACCCCAACCGCAGAACATTTATTTTACATTATAGACTTATAAAAGTCAAATACATTCACCCTACAAATTTAGAAACAGAAATCAAAATAAACAGTTTGTTTTTCATGCCAGACAAAGCAATAAGAAAGATTGCAAAGACTGACTATGGTTTACAAAATGTTCTGGTTGTAACAATTTGATCATGGCTCTGAAGCACTAGATGATATGCCTGTAAAATACTCTGGTGTAATAAACCATGACAGTTTTGTTCCCTTCTCGATTCAGGCCATTTTTGATCGGAACAGGAAAGATGAACTACCCAGGTTGCAGCTCGAGTGGATTGATAGCATCTGCATGCCATTGTATGAGGTAATTTTTACTTACTGCTCCTGTAGAGCCCAGAGAAGATTGTTCTTGCCTCTCTAAGGAAAAGAGTTTGCTTACTGTGCAGCCTTGAAGGCCCCAGGAATGCTTTATCTCTCTTTGCGTTTAACAAGAGACTGAACTCTATGCAGAAATCTTCAGTTTCCCTGAAGACAGTTTTATCTGTAAATATAATTTCTCTCTGAGTTATGAAAGCTGTTAAGGTAACTGTTCATTTTGTTTGAGACAAACTGATTCTTGTGGCAAGGTGTGTAGTGCTCAGCAGGGTGGTGCTGATGGGATGGACACACCATGTGCTGCTGTCAGCCCTGTGCCTGGGAACACATCCAAATACAGGTGATCCAGGTGATGCTCAGGGCTGAGCCTTCGCACTCCCTTCTGGTTCCTTTTGAAATTGTTGAAGGACTCCCTAGGCCAAGCCTTTAACGTCAATGACAAGTGATTTGTAGTTTAACCTATGTGCTGTTTAACTGGGAGCTTAATCTTTTAAATGTTTCTGTACAGGTTGCTTGGATGTTTGGTATATGGTATAAATGCTCAAGTACTACTTGGTTGGGCTCTGAATAATGTTTCATCGGATTAAACTAGCTTTGGAATTTAACTTGTGTGTAACATGAACTTCACCATTTCAACTTATTCTCTCTTATCTGCACAGAAAGCAGAGCTACAGAGCTACACAGGCAGAATGATAAATGGAAAATGACACTATAGAAACTTAACCATCAATAACTGTGTCAGCCAGAATTTTCCTACATGCTGAAACCACAGAGACCACCTTCCATTTTATTAAGAAAGATGATGCGCTTCCTACCTGCTCTACCTCATGGCATTTGAGATTGCCACTAAAGAAGGGGCTGGCCAGTAGCAAAGGCAACCCCAGTTGTGTGACAGCAAGAATGTGAGGTGGGCTAATGCTTTGACAGGAAATCCTGTTTCTTTCTCGTGTCAGTCTTTATCAGTATAAAATAAACTGTAAATCCATAGGTTTCAACCAATTAAGAGAAGGCAAGCACAGGAGACCCATAGAAAGTTACATTTTTTTAAATACTAACCTTGTCTTTGACACCAACAGGTAGGGAGAACTGACACTGGAGAAAAACTCTTTAAAAACAATGTTCCCTTCAATATAATAGTTCACATTACACTAGAATGCATATTATATCAGAATTCATAATTCATGATCTGAAAAAGTACAATAAAGGAGGAAAAACTGATCATCAGACCATCCTCTGCATGAGAAGACTAGATCTGAGCGCTAATGCTCTGGTTAGTTAGCTCCATCTTAGCAGGAGATCTCTGGAGAATATATTCACAACTGATTTCCCTGTTTTCTGCTGTCTTTGTATCATGCTGTGCAGCTATTAGCCTGCTGCTCAACAACTTAAAAAGGAGACACCATCAAACCTGGAAGTCATTGCAGCACCAGCCTTAGGGGTAAACAGAAAACTTGATGTCACAGTATCACACTGCAGGAGATTCTCTCTTGAACATGTAGTCAAATTTTAATTTTCATAGCCAGCTTAATCAAACCTCAATACACATCACATCAGCAGTGTAGTCAGGCATTCTAAATCTTCTGGTTAGGGCTGCATGAGCACACTCTAACTATGACAAAGTCCTAGATTCTAGTTTATTTTTTCCTTTCTAAATATGTTCTTTAAAATTCTAGCCTCTATAATCTGTTATTGGGACTGCATGTGGGGACAGAATGGGTTACATCATTACAAGTGCAACATAAAGAGGCAGAGTGGCAGCTGACAAATTAGTAAAATCTTAGCAGTACTTATATAGCTTACTAGCACAAAGCTTTTATAAGCAAAACATTTGACACTTGTTTTGATACCAAAATTACAACATTAAGTCATAAAGAACAAACTCAAGGCTTTTGCATATAATTACTTCATGCAAGTGATGAAGTCCTGGATCTATCTGGACACATCCTGGTGTCCAGAGGCCTAAAGAGAGCTCTGCAGGGAAACGCACGCATCCATACCAACACAGCTGCTGAGGCAGGACTAATGCTGTGCTCCATTTTACTTGACACGCAGACAGCAAAAGTGGTCTCTACTGTCTGCAAATGCTGGGAACTCTCACTGAAGTCAGATTGGAGTTTTTTGCTTTGACAAGATCAGTGGAGGCCCCTAACGTAGTCCTAAGAGTAAACTATTCTTGGCAGCTCTGGATTTTTGAAGCGTGCAATATAGAAGGAACTTCATTACCTAAACTTAAATGAGCACTCTGGTGGCATTGGCTGTGCTGCAACAAACTGCACCTTGTCCACAGTCCAGGCTTATGAGTTTAGTCATATACCAGAGCGCCCACAGAGAACATTTGATAATTACAACCTTTAGTATGCTTTACAGAGCTTTAGAGAGAGTTCTGGCCTCCCCCTGCCTTACGCTTTTCTCCTCCTTTCTTGAAAGATTCTTTGGGACTTTATCAGTCTTCTGGGGAGATTTGGCACTATCAGCCTCCTCTGTATGCATCTACTTGCTTTTCTGCCTTTCCTCAGAACAGCTCTCAACTTTGAGGTGCAGTTTTTCTCCCAAGAGAAGGATGATTAAGCCTCCTTCAACAGGGAGAGGGGTGTCACAGCAGTGCATACGCACACAAGGAGATTTATACCTTTGCTCACCTGGCTGGAACTATTCTGATTTTTGGGGTATTTTTTTTGTAAGAAGTTTTAAAAGCAACTAGCAATTCCTCAAGATCTGTGAACCTTCTGCTAGCCATCATGAAAAGGTCTACAAAATGTGCTTTATAAGTTAATGTGGAGCTTGAAGCTGAATATATGTAGATACATAATAACTGGGATATTAAAAAAAATTATATACAGATTTCCCATATCAGAGCATCTAAATCAAAACCTGTTTGTGTTTGCTCTGTAAGCATGACTCTGCTTTTGGCACAAGGTAAGCTGTGGCTCTGCTCCCTCACTGCCCCATAAATGCTGCTTGACTTGGGAATTAGGCCACCTCCAGTATCAAAGTGCCACAGTAATAAAATCTGTTTCCTCCATACTGTGTATCAAAGGACTGTGAAGATAAAAGCTTCCCAATTTTTTGTTCATTGCTTTTTATTACACTTGGGACATTATAATTTTATTGAATTTACTTTTTTGCTACCGCAGTGATCAGAATATTTTTATATGACAGTAAAGTTTTTGCCTTGAATAGCAGAACTGCCACACATTTACTCTGAAGTTCTGATTTTAGGGGCTTTAGTTATGCTTTACTGCATCACATTTGCTCTTCATTCAAAAATGTTAGCAAAGAAAGCATTAGCCAGTAGACAGACGAGAAACAAGCATATTAGAATAATCATTTGTAAGGAACAATACATTTCTATGATCTGTAGAGCATTTCAAATACACTAATGTAGCTTCAATATGAAGTAATCATCCCCTTTTTTTTCACAGAACACGGTATAAAGGGGAATCACATGCAACTCAAGCAGAAAATCTAAGATATCCCACTGAAAATAAAACACTATGGCTACACTGACAGCTGCATTCACTGTACTGAGAAAGCACTCTGTACCTATTTGGACATAAACGTTCTTGTAAGATGTACAGCATTTCAATCATTAAGACAAATTACTTCTCTGAACCTCCTGTAAAGATACTAAGAGTTTCAACACCAACAGATTCCTGCCCTTAACTCTATGGCTTGCGCACACCTAATGCAGGACCAGTTGCACATTTTTTCTGACTCAGATTAGATTTCTCTGTGGGGAACAGATGGAGCAGGATAGTGAAGATCTTACTCTTTTTAATCATTATTTTTCCTCACAAACAACATCAAAGCATTAGTGATTCACTTCAAAGAAAAGACACTAAGAGCAGCCCGGCTCTGTTCACAGCATTGTTAGGCAGAGACAGTAATGCTGTGAATAGCAGGGCCAAAGGCCATGCACTCTGCTTCTAGGCAGATAAATACATAGTCAGGTAGTCAGTGACGATGACAGCAGCTATTTAAATTTAAGGGAGATGTCTTTGTGGAAGATAAAGAAGCTCATGGCTTATACAACTTATGCGTGCCTGAGGTTGCCCTGCTCACCTCTACCTCCCTGCTCAGTTGAGCTGCTCCATTTCAGAGCTATTTTTAGTGCTATTCAAGATTTTCTTGGGTAAGGAGAGCTTTTAACACATAATAGCATGTACAAAATTGAATTTGCGTTACTTCATTCTAGATTCTAGGGAAAAAAAAAATCAAGAAAGAGCAGAAATATTTATTTTAGCAAGTACTTTAAATGTACTAGACTTTATGTGGAAGGACAAAGCCTACCCTTATCACACTGACGTACTCAGCAAGAAATCTAATTGCTTTGTCTACAACTTTACAACGGCACACACAGTGGATATGCCTATCTTCCTACAGTCTGGCCTTGTAATTAAATCCATTTTTTGGGTAATTCCCCAGTGGTGATGTAACTGCAAGAAACATTTATTCTACTCATTAGCAGACATTAAAGGCACAGGGTAGTATCAGTAGAGCTTCTACAAAAAAAAAAAAAAAAAAAAAAAAAAAAAAAAAAAAGTACAGAAGTCTCCAATGTCCATGCTTTTATTTCTCCAGTTCAAAAAATTGACTTTGACACCTGAATTAGGACTGCATGTGCATACATTGATTATTTTTTTTTCCCAAAAGTTTATACTCTACTTACAACTAGTAGTCAAAAGATTAATATTTCAATATTCCTTTGCAGAAGAGAAGGAAAGATATGCTTTAGGAATCACTCTTATACTGCCATGTCCTGATACAGCCCTTCCTCATTTACTAAGACTATATTTTTCCCTCAGACTCTCAATGAAAATTTTACATAAGGAAATATCATAAGAAATTCAAGGTTTGGACCATTCCTCTAGAAGTCCAGGATGGGTTGTATGGTATGACTTAGACCTTACTCAGGCAAGAGTCTCTGGATGTAGCCAAAGCTGTGTTTCAGTTCCAATGTCCTCTCTGCATAGTCACAACTAAGACATT